AGCCTGGCACAGCCTATCAGGGATTGGAGTTGATGACGGGCATGTCCCAAGGGCAGGCTGGGCTGGGCAGCCTGGGGAGCCCTGTGGGGCTAGCAGCGACAAAACACTTTAGCTGCAGACAAATGGGAAGTGTCTGCGCAGACTTTCCTGTGTTTAATTTTATTACTCTAAAAATGGAGGGGCTGTTGTTTCTTTCATGTTTCATTTCAAGCAATTTTAATTATATATTTTTTCTATATCAGAGGCTTTGGAACACAGTGATTCAACCTATTGTGTCTGTCCTGGTTTCGGCTGGGATGGAGTTGTTTTTTCTTCCCGATAGCTGATATAGTGCTCAGTGAGTGAGCAAGCAGCTGTGTGGTGCTTAATTGCTGGCTGGGGCTAAACCATGACAGTGTCTGAGGCAAAAACAGAGTAACCTTCTGGAAAAACAAATATATTCCAGTGCTGTAAATATAGCTGACATGCTGAAGAATTTTGAGCAGTCAAAAAGGTCGTTGACACCATACACGAAGCACTACAGAGCAAAAGATGAGAAAAACATTGCTTCCCCACAATAGCTTTTTCAGGTGTTTGTTTTTATTTGAAGGGAGTAAGACTGAAATATATTTTTCCAGGCTACTAAATTTACACAGATCATAAAAATAAGCTTGATTCTGATTGCCTATGTATCAATTTTTAGCTTAATCTTTTTATGTATCCAAAGTCTGGTTTTGACCCTGACTGAAAGAGCAGTTTATCTTTTATCTCTTAGACCGTGTTGTATGAAATGTATGAAATTCTACAGCCGCCTTAACATAATGGCAACTTAAAATGATATGGGAAATAATTTTCATATCTGCTACTGAGAATTTCCAAGGAAACCCCTTCTTCCAATGTACCTCAGCTAATACAACTTCAAATACTTCTCTGCTGCTAAGATCCCTGAGAAATTAAGCTGCTGGTTACGTGCTTACTTTACCTTGGTGCAGCATACATAGAGAGATAGTTCTGGTGCAAAATTAGAAATCGCACTGGTAAGACAAAACAAGTGGACAGGCTAGAAATATTTTGTCACAATGCTATTATTATATCCATTGTAGAAAAGCTAGAGCAAGAACAAGGAAAGTGTAAAGAAAAAACAAGTCTCAAGGCTGCAATTTAGTGTCTAATGCAATACCTCTTATAAATTTGAAACAGTCTGCACCACATGACTTTGGATAGGAAAATAATTGTTTATTCAGTAGTTAATGAATTAAAAGGGTAAGTCTGTTTACTAGTCCAAAAACACGATGATAAATTATCCCTGTGAAGGAGCGTTTGAGGGGAGCCTGAAAACATTTGAATGAACTCCATCATTAATTTTATTTTTGTTTAAGACATCCTTACCATGTATACATTTTACACTGAAATTTTGAATAAACCAAAATTCTAAGTCTGCCTTCGGTGGGCAGGTGTATTTACATTTTAATGGAAGTCTTAATTAGAAAAGCAATTACATTTTTTAAAAGTAGTCCTCTTACTAAATATGTGTATTCTGATTACTCTTAGCTTTAATATATGGTTGTAATTTCATGTGTAATACCTCTCTTTCCGCAGAGGAAAAGGTAAAGCAAATAATACATATTTGTATCTCTCTCTGCTAAACAAAAAACTTACAACACATATGTGTATGTGTTTTTCTGTGTTTGGATGTATGCAATTTCACATAAATAGAAGCATCATAACCATATTATTCACAGCAAAGAAAATTCTTCTCAGTCACATACTAATTTAAAAACTGTAAATGGTGCTTAGTTTATGCTGACTGGCTGCCAAACAAAAGAAATTATGGGCAATAAAAGCAAAATTAAGATGTGAGTGTTGCCATTTTACAGCAGGACATGGCAAATACATGTCCTACATCTCGAATCACAGGGAGGACAGGGAGGTGATTAGAGACAGCCAGCAAGGGCAAGTCTTGCCTGACCAACCTAGTGGCCTTCTATGATGGAGTGACCACATCAGTGGACAAGGGAAGAGCTACCGATGTCATCTGGACTTCTGTAAGGCCTTTGACACAGTCCCCCACAACATTGGAGAGATATGGATTTGATGGGTGGACTGTTGGGTGGATGAGGAACTGCCTGGATGGTCACAGTCAGAGGGTAGTGGTCAATGGCTCAATGTCCAGATGGAGATCAGTGACGAGTGGTGTCCCTCAGGGATCCGTATTGGGACCAGAACTCTAATATCTTCAACAGTGACATAGACAGTAGGCTCAAGTGCACCCTCATCAAGTTTGCAGGTGACACCAAGCTGAGTGGTGGGGTTGACACGCCTGAGGGACGGGATGCCATCCAGAGGGACCTGGACAAGCTGGAGGAATGGGCGTGTGTGAACCTCATGAGGTTCAACGAGGCCAAGCGCAGGGTCCTGCACCTAGGTTGGGGCAACCCCAGGTATCAGTACAGGCTGGGGGATGAAGGGATTGAGAGCAGCCCTACTGAGAAGGACTTGGGGGTACTGGTGGCCCAGAAGGACAACCGTATCCTGGGCTGCATCAAAAGAAGTGTGGCCAGCAGGTCGAGGGAGGTAATTCTGCCTCTCTGCTCTGGTGAGACCTCACTTGGAGTACTTGTCCTGGTTTCAGCCTGGGATAGAGTTAATTTTCTTCATAGAAGCTAGTGTGAGGCTGTGTTTTGGTTTTGGGATGAAAAAATGTTGATAACGTGCTGATGTTTTCAGTTGTTAGGTAGTCAAGGACTGTCCAGCTTTTCATGCTGGCCTGCCAGTGAGTAGGCTGGGGGGGGATGGGAAGCTGGGGGGGGGCAAGTAGGCTGGGGGTGCATGGGAAGCTGGGAGGGGACACAGCCAGGACAGCTGACCCAGGCTGGCCAAAGGGATATTCCACACCATATGACGTCATGTTCAGTATATAAAGCTGGGACAAAGAAGCAGCAAGGGGTGGAGGGAAGTTCAGAGTTATGGTGTCTGTCTTCCCAAGAAACCATTACACATGATGCAACCCTGCTTCCCTGGAGATGGCTGAACACCTGCCTGCCCATGGGAAGTGGTGAATCAATTCCTTGTTTTGCTCTGTTTGCATGCTCGGTGTTTACTTTCCTTATTAAACTGTCTTTATCTCAAACCATGAGTTTCCTCACTTTTCCGCTTCTCTCTCCCATCCCACTGTGGGGGGTGAGCGAACAGCTGCGTGGTGCTTAGTTGCCAGATGTGGTTAAACCATGACAGTACTGCATGCAGTTCTGGAGTCCTCAGCACAGGAAAGACATGGACCTGTTGGAGTGGGTCCAGAGGAGGGCCACAAAAATCATCAGAGGGATGGAACACCTCTGCTATGAGGAGAGGCTTAGAGAGTTGGGGTTGTTCATCTGGGAGAAGAGAAGGCTCTGGGGAGACTTTATGGCAGCCTTTCAGTACTTAAAGGGGGCTTAAAAGAAAGATGAGGGTAAACTTTTTAGCAGGACCTGGTGAGTTAGGACAAGGGGTAATGGTTTTAAACTAAAAGAGGGTAGATTTAGAATAGATATAAGGAAGAAATTTTTGACAATGAGGGTGGTGAAATACTGGCACAGGTTTTCCAGGGAGGTGGTAGATGCCCCATCCCTGGAAACATTCAAGGTCAGGTTTGACGGCAGTCTGAGCAACCTGATCTAGTTGAAGATGTCCCTGCTCATTGCAGGGGGATTGGACTAGATGTCCTTTAAAGGTCCCTTCCAACCCGAACTATTCTATGATTCTATGATTTCATGAAACACCATTTCCTTCTGTCAGCTGTATCTTGATTACACAGTCACACAGGCACACATTCTCTCTTACATCCATACACATTTACATATGCACTCTTGTTTGCCCTCTTTCCTGTAGGTTTTAACTTGAGGTCACTGAAACCAGAAAAGAGGAGGAATATATACCAAAACTTTAGAAAAGAAATGCAAATAAAGGTCTCGCTCTGTGGGGAAGAAAAACAAGCAAACAAACAAGAACAAGACAAAAACTCTACCCCAGTTCTTGTTCTCACTGTGATAATTGTTTTTCTCATATTGGCAGGTGTCCTAGTAGTAAATGTTACGTGGAAGAACAAGACTTATGTGGGAATGCTGCTGGATTGCACAAAGCATGATTGGGCCCCTCCGAGGTAGGCAATCATTCTGGGTCTGTTTTTTCTCTACTGTATTTTCACTCCCCAATCTCTGTCAAGAGACTACAGAGATTAATAAAAAACAACTGTGTATAATTAAAAACATGCACCAGTGAATGAATAATTCTCTGTTCCACACTGAAAAGGACATTAGGGTGAAAGTTTTTATTTGAGAGGGAAGTGGAAATATGTGGGGAATTAATTCAAAGGGGAATTAATTTAAAAATACATTTTTATAAGTTTGGAAACTTTTTCTCTTTGTTGTTCTAGTTAGATGTTTCATTTCCATTTTTGTCTTTTTTTAATGACATTCCCTTTGAGACTGCAGTGTTCTCATTTGGAAGAAGGACAACCTTCCTTTAACATGGCTGAAGGTTATATTATGGGAGGTGTTGTTGTTTTTCTATTTATTCAGTTCATGGCTCCTGCTGATGACATCTGTTCTTGTTTATATAGGTTTTGTGAATCACCAACACGTCACCCGGAAATGCAAGGAGGCCGGGGCAGAGGAAAGCGGGCAAGGTCCACTGCAGCTGTACCTGGAAATGATGCGAATTTTACAGAGTCTAGAGGACTTCAGAATAAGAATCAAGGTGGTGCCAATAGGAAGGGAAGGAGGGGCAGCCTTAATGCAAGTGGGTGCAGGACAACACCAAACTGTGCTGTGGATGATGTCAAAGCCAACCCCTCATCCACAAACAAGAGGAAAAATAAGCCTCCAGTGGAGCTAGAATTGAACTCCAGTTCAGAGGACAATAAATCTGGAAAATGTGCTCGTACTAACTCTAGAAGCTCTCCCATCACTCCACAGGGAAAACTTGAGGCTACTTTTTTGGACCAAGGTTGCCCTTCTTCAGTCCTGATTGATTGTCCTCACCTCAACTACAACAAAATGTACAAGCACGTTAATGGACTCCGATACCACCAGGCTCATGCACATTTAGATCCAGAAAACAAACTGGAGTTTGACCCTGACAGTGAAGACAAAATTTCAGACTGCGAGGAAGCACTGAGTAATGTGGCACTTCAATGCAGTGAGCCAAACACAAATTTGTCAAGCTTTGATACATTAAAAACACCGACGTCTCCTTCCTCCATCACTACCCCAGGGACACCCAAAGGAAAAAGGGAGCTGACCGGCAATGGCCCCAGTTCAGTTATCAGTTCCAAAAATGGCAAGAATTCTGGCAAAAAGAAGGGTCTGAACAGCGAATTGACAAGCCTTCTGGTAATTTCTGATATGGCATCCACACTGGGCAATTGTTTGGTAGCAGATGGCACTTTGCAAACTGAAATGCCCAAATTGGAGGCTGAAGGGTTGATAGACAAGAAAATTTTGGGTGATAAAGACAAAGGCAAAAAAGCTAATCATTGCAAAGTGGATAAATACCTTTCTAAACTGAAAATGGACAGGCCCATTGCCCCAGCGCTAGCACTGACTCCTCCCCAATTAATAGCTATACCTACTGCAGCCTTTACAACCATCACTACAGGGACAATACTGGGAATTCCTTCTCTAACAACTACTGTTGTCCAGGTTACACCAAAGAGCCCTCTGCTAAAACCTATTCAACCAAAGCCCTCAGTTATGGAATGGCCAAGCACTGTAAACGCATCTGTCACATCACTCAAAGACAGAAGGAAAAAGGAGAAGAGAAAGCTAAAACACAAAGAAAGCAAAGACACTGAAAGCCCTAAGATGGATTCTGATCTGGGAAAGTTGGAGGATTCAAAAGGGTCTGGGAAAGATTTATCTGGACATTTTTTAAAGGACCATCTCAATAAAAATGAAGTGTTAACTAATGGACTGTCAGAGTCTCAAGAGAGCAGGATGGCAAGCTTCAGATGGCTGAAGCTGATAAGGTTTACACGTTCACAGACAATGCACCCAGCCCTTCTATAGGAAGTGCCTCCAGGATGGAATGCAGCACTTCAGTGAATGGACAGTCTTCAATTGTGTCCCTGCATGTGTTGACACAAAGTGGTGGAGATACTGCAGCTACTAAAACCAACAACCCTGCTTACTCGGATATTTCTGATGCGGCTGATGACGGTGGCTCGGACAGCAGGTCAGAGGGCATGAATTCAAAGGCCAGCTCTCCTTCGGATATTATATCTAATAAGGACAGTGTTGTAAAAGAATATTCTTCAGCCACAACAGTATCGGCTCAAGAAAAAGAGTCCCATTCTCCCTATTACCATGGCTACAGACCTTATTATTCTCCAAGTTACATGCACTCTGGACAGGACTGTGCCCCACAGGGACTGAAGACCAAAAAAGAATCTGAGGAAGAGGCTGAAAAAAAGAAGACAGAACTGTCAGATTCCAAGAAAAGTGAAACCAGTTCCACTAATTTGCAGCCACAACATCAGTCAGTAATAACGCAAAGACACCCTGCACTTGCCCAATCACTTTTTTATGGACAGTATGCTTATGGACTCTATATGGACCAAAAGTCCTTAATGGCCTCTAACCCTGCTTACAGACAGCAGCATGAAAAATACTATGAGGACCAGAGACTAGCAGAACAGAAAATGGCACAAACTAGGAGAGACTGTGAAGGGAAAAATGAACCCCCCTTGAAGGAAATTGGCAACGGTGATAATAAGCAGAAAAACAACCCATCTGCTACTATTTCAAAGGCCACTTCAACTCCAGAGTCAAGTAAAAATAACACTTTTTATCATCAATCATCAATCATCAATCGCTATCACCAATCATCAATCACTAACAAAGGCGAGGAGATGAGCAATTCACAGATATTTTCCAATCACCAGCAGCAGCTTCAGTCTGACAGTATCAAAGCCAAACAAATGGAAAACCACAAGCTCATAAAGGAGGCTGTGGAGATGAAATCTGTTATGGACTCCATGAAGAAAACAGGAGTAGATCTGACCACAAGATTTAAACAGGTGAGATCACAGGAAAGAGAACAAATGTGTCTTGACTTATAATGAAATCATGTAAGATTTTGTCTCTGTTTTTGCTATGTTCTTTTACCCTTGCAGTCAACCAATCTCTGACATGCTTTTTTCATGCTGGACAGTATTGTAGTCTGTGAATAGACCAATAGGCCTTCCAGCTGAGCTGTTTGAAAAGAAAAAAACTAGCAAGGTGGTGACTGAATCCAGACTTAAAGTATGAATAGACTATTTTCAATTGCATGCAATGATAAAATAGAATTAGATTTCTCTTTTAGATGTAAATTCCAAGCAATTTGCTAAGTTCAGAAATGAGAATTTTTGAGCAAAATAAGAAGCTTTCGTTGTGAGAGGACAAAGTGGATTTGAAACACAGATTGGAGTGTTTCGGTTTTTTGTGTGTTAAATGACAGTTGGCATTTACCATAAAGATGGGTGAGCTGATTCTTTGAAGAGTTGGCTTGAAGCTCAGCTCTTTATCTTAACTCAAGGTGACCTTTTTGAAATACTGTCCTGGTTGTCATCTGGGATAGAGTTAATTTTCTTCCTGATAGCTGATATAGTGCTGTGGTTTGGATTTGGGATGAAAATAATGTTAATAACATACTGATGTTTTTAGTTGTTGCTAAGCAGTCAAGGACTGTCCAGCTTCTCATGTTGGCCTGCAAGTGAGAAGGTGGGGGGGTGCACAGGAAGCTGGGAG